GCTCAGCCGTCTGGGAGCGCTGCTGCAGCAGGCGGTGGAGACGGTGAGAGGGGTCGGGGGGGAACGGAACCGGGACCGGGGCCGGGAGAGGGAATGGGAACGGGAACGGGACCGGGACCGGGAACAGGACCGGAACCGGGAGAGGGACAGAGAACGGGACCGGGAGAGGGAACGGGAACGGGAACGGGAAAGGGAATGGGAACGGGAGAGGGAACGGGGCCGGGAGAGGGAGAGGGAACGGGAACGGGAGAGGGAACGGGACCGGTAATGGGACCAGGACCAGGAACGGGACTAGGAACGGGAACGGGACTGGAACGGGAACGGGAACTGGAACGGGAGAGGGTGTTCCGTGCCCCCCTGACCCCAATCCCGGTGTGAGCAGCGGGAGCCCAGCGTGGACCTGCTGGAAGCCTTCACCSAGCACTGGAAAGGCATCACCGGCTACTACCTGGAGGCCACAGGTGAGTGGGGYGCGGGGAGAGGGTCCCCGTGGCCCGGGTTGGGGTCACTGGGCCCGGGATGGGATTTCTGAGGCGTGGGAATAAATYCCTTGTGGTGTGGGAACAGTTCTCGTGTCCTAGGAGAGCTCCTTGTATCCTAAAATAGGGCGTCCTAAAAATGGGAATAAGGTCCCAGTGCCCAAGGAGGGGGGGTTGCGGTGCYCTGGGAGGGGACCCCATGCCCTGGGGTGCCCTGGGACAGGACCCCAAAGGCTGGGACAGGATGGTGTGTCCTGGGAAAGCATCCCTGTGTCCTAAAATAGGGTCTCCGGCTAGGAATGAGGTATCCCCTGTGCCCCGGGGCAGGGTTAGGGGACAGCTCCTGGGACACGACCCCGTGTCCTGGGACAAATCCCTGCACCCTGGGATGGCACCCCACACCCTGGGACAGGATCCCAGCGCATTGTGGCTGCCCTGGCCTGTGGGGACAGGGCAYGGGACACCCCTTCCCAAACCCTGGGAGGATTTTACCCCTGCCCTGCCCWGCCCCGACCCCCYGACACCGCGRTGGGATCGGCACGGTGAGTTCGGGCWGGGTGGGGACACTCCCGGGAGCGCCGCACACGCTGGGACACGTCCCTTGGGGAACGCGCTGCACCCCGGGAGCGCTAAAACAGCGCCGGGAGAGCTTCAGCCCCCATTCCCAYTGGAATCTCGGGCCGGGCTGTGCCGGGGGCGATCTCCGCTGCCCACCGGGAGAGCGATGTCCGGCAGCGGGATGTCCGGCAGCGTCCTAGGCCGGAGCGGAAGGAGCGGAGCCGCGGCTCCATCCTCACTCACATTGCCATCTAGCGTCACCCGCGCTCGGGAGGAGCCGCGTTTGGGGCAGCGCAGAGGGGAATTCTTCCTTTTTTCCATGCGCGGGGAGGGGGTTCCACCTCAGCCCCCCGTGCCCTGAATCCCGCTGTCCGCAGACGAGAGCACCCCGGCCCGACAGACGGACATTCCCTGGCGCCTGCGGCAGATGAGGGATATTCTGGTGTACGAGGAGCAGCAGCGGCCGGCGGGGGACACGGGGCCGTGCCTCGAGTACCTGCTCCAGCACAAACTGCTGGAAACGTTGGGCACGCTGGGCAAGGCGGAGGTGGGTGAGGGCACCGGGAAAATCCCTCCGGAGGTGCCAAACCCGCAGCCTTTCTCACCTGATTTATGTGGTGCCCCTCGATAATTGAAATTTTGGAGCTTTTTTTTTTTTTTTTTTTTTTTTTTTTTTTTGGAGAAAATTGGCTTTTTGTGGCGAAAAACTTGGCTTTTTTTGGGAGGGTCTTGGATTATTCAATTTAAGTTCTCGGCTGGAATCCTTTCTGGGATTTTGCACCCCATCACAGCCCTCCTTGCATGGGAAGGGTTTTTTTTTTACACATTTGACACTTGGCTTTGCAGGATGAGGTGCCAGGTTTGGGAAAGGAAATATTGCCCAAATATTTAACGAATATAATGGCTCTGCTGTGCCTTTGTTGCTAATAATAACAACAAGACTCCCTATAAATAGATTTTAATTCAAATATAAGTGGAAACACTGGTCCTTCCACACCCATGAGGATTTGGAGTTTTGGGGTGCCGGGGTTTAATTCCCCAATGCTGGGAAATGAGAAATAATCCCCCAGATTGTTTTATTTCAGTGCAGAGACCTGAGTTAACCCCTCATTTTTAAAGGAAGGGGATGTGCTGGGGGATCATTTTGGGGCACCCACCTGGGTGATTTGGGGCAATTAGAGGGAAATCAGGGGATGGGGCTCAGTTTGAACCCTGTCCCCGTGTCCCTGTCCCAGTATCCCCCCGGGATGAGGCAGCAGGTCCTGCTCTTCTTCAGCCGCGTGCTGGGGCAGCTGCAGCACCCGCTCCTGCACTACCTCAACGTCCACCGGCCCGTGCAGGTGAGGCCACACCCGTCCCCACC